CAAAATTAAGAATGGGTGGTGCACACTAAGCTTGCTTTGCTGCACCAGCAATTGGCAGTGCCAAAGGTCTTTTCAGGAGGCAACTTGTTTTTTCTTTCGAAGATGTTTCACTTCTCATCCAAGAAGCTTCTTCAGCTCTGACAGGATAGTGGGGAATGGAAGGATTTATATTCCTTGCAGACAGCTGGTAATTTGCATCCTTTTAGAGGGTCCTTGAAGCATTTGGATTTCCAGAGGAAAAGAAAAAAAATTGCAGACTATAGGAACCAGGAGCACTACTCAGGTGACCCTGAGGACATTGATAAATCTCCAAGTGCTTCAACCGTCCTCTAAAAGGATGCAAATGACCAGCTGTCTGCAAGGAATATAAATCTTTCGATTCCCCACCATCCAGTCAGAGCTGAAAAAGCTTCTTGGATGAGAATCTTCAAAAGAAAAAAACAAGGAAGTCCAGTTGCCTCCTGAAAAAGCACTTTTGGGACAACCATGACTTGGATGACTGAGAATCTCTACAGACAAATGGCAGCGGTACCTTAGTTACAAGGTGTGCATCAAAAATATCTACTTAATGCTTCTGTTGGTACTATTACTGTGACCAATTAAAAACATGTTATTTATTCACCCATTAAATCTCTCAATCTCTCTCTTTCATGGTGGAGAGCCATGTTAGTTTACGGTGACAAAAAAAATCAGCAGTTGCCTAAGTAGCATTTTTTTTTCTCTTCTGACGCTCACAACAACTTATACCTTTTAAAAAATACATTAGACAAAAAATAATGAGCTACCAGGATCCTTCTGATCTCTCACCCTACCTGTACCCACTCTTGATCACATTTTCTCATTTTTACATTTGTTTATATTTGCTTTATGCTGTGTACCACTAAGATACTGAGTATGATGGATGCTCTAAGAGTTTAAATAGAACACTGTAATTGGAAACTCAGCACACGTCAGAAACATGCTTAAGCATGCCCATTCAGGTTTGGCCTATAGAAAACACAGGGAGATATTAGCATGATACCTTTGTAAAAGCAAAAAGACCAGAAAAACTACTTTCACTGTGCAATGAATGAAACATTAACCAATAGTCTTGGTGAATATCAGAAATACTTTTTGGCTTGGTTTTATGGTCATTAGTAAGCCTTTAATATTTTTCTTCTCTTCCAAGTTCTTTTTGTGAGTCACAGAACTCAATGGAGGAAGGAGACAACTCTTGATAGAGAAAGAGGCTTTTAAGGAAGTGGAAGTTACCTTATCCACAAAGAAGGTGAGGAAAGATCTCAACTTATTAAGAGCTGTCTGCTATTAGTCATCTTCCCCTCAATGGTAGTCAGATGAGTTATCCTTGCTATGTACACTCTGGGTTCAGGCAGTCTAAGATTTGTAAGCCTCCTTCATGCCATGGCTTCATTTGCTGCTTTGAAATCAGTCTTTAACCAGACTTAAAATTGAATTATAATTTAAAGGAAACATATGTGAATTAAGACATACTGTTCAGGGGTGGGCTTCAAAAACTGTAGCAATGGGTTCGCTGCCCATTGTTGGGTAGGTATGTCCATGGTAGGCATGGCCTAGTCGGGTTCCTGCATCACGGAGGGAGGGCATTTTTTGCCCTCTCCAGGCTCTGGAGGTTTTCCTCGAGCCTCCGGGAGGGCGAAAACTGCTTCCCCCGGGCTCCGGAGGCTGGAAACAGGCCCATTTCCAGACTTCCGGACCCTCCAGTAGGCCTGTTTTCCTCCCTCCCAGAGCCTTCATGTGAGGCCTGCACTTTCTTGGCATGATGAATGGACCACAAGGAGACTCCTGGGATGGGCAGGGCAGGGTGGGAGGTGAGGAACAGAGCAGGGTGGGCATGGCTAGCCAGGAGTGAAATTTGGGGGTTTGCTGAACAGGGCACACTCCTAGCTAGAGGATTGTCCGAACCCGTGCGAACCCCCACCAGCCCACCCCTGGATACTGTACATATCTAGATTTAATGCATACAAGAGCTGAAATACACTGTCCTTTTTATACTTATGCTACCACACTGCTAGCTGTAATTAAGTTTTAGTTTTCTAGCGCAACTACCTTGAGGTCATTTTCTCTAAAAATGTTAGGTGCTAATATTTCCAGACAAATAAGTGAGAAAAATGGAATTTGGTTACTATTATTCAAACTGATGTCACGGTTAAGAAAAAAAACACTTAAATCCTAAGTGTGCTCCCTCTCTGGCAATTTGGACAATGTGATTTCTAGGCCTGCTTTGTGAACAAACTCAGCTGGGTAACCCTGGAATAGTCCGTCTCTCTCAGTTCAAAGGAGGAGGCAATGGCAAACCGCTTCTGAAATCTTGCCCAGAAAACTACAGGGAATTTGTCCAGGCGGTCAATACACTCACAAACACATATATAGAAAAAGTAAAAGAATAAGTCAACAAAAATGCTCAGTGGAATACAACAACCTCACTTTGAGGAACAAGGTATGGCTCTTTGTGACTTTGGAACAAAGATGGTTAAAGAAAGACATGATTGAGTTTTATAAAATTATTCATAGCCTAAAATCATAGGACTCTTGTTATATTACGATGTTTTCTGGCTAGCAGTTTAAAAGCTCCTGTTACTAACTTTGTGTGGTTTTAGAAAATTTCCATAGAATGACTGCAGCACAAAGATGAATCCAGTATAGAACTTAATTACATAATTTTTTTCTGCCATTTTGTTTACATGACTAGTCAGTTAAATCAAAACCAATTCAAATGAGGACCCAGATTGCTGGGGGAATTATGCTGACTCGTAAACTGCTTAGAGAGTGCTGTAACACCGTGTGAAGTAGTATATAACTGTAAGTGCTACTGTGTTTCCCCAAAAATAAGACAGGGTCTTATTTTCTTTTGACACCCCCCCCCCCGAAATAAGCACTTGGCATTATTTTCAGGGAGGTCTTAGTATTTTGGAGGTGCAGGAGCGAGCATGGTCACCTCATGGCTTCTGCTGTGTTGCAATATTTTTGGGGAGAGCTTATTTTCAGGGGAGAGCTTATTTTAGCACGTGCTCAAAAGCCCGATAGGGCTTATTATCTGGGGAGGTCTTATTTTCAGGGAAACAGGTTATTGCTATACATCAAACGTGACATCTACAGCCTACCAACAATGATGTGAAAAGGATAACATACATGCAATAATGTCATTGTTCAAATGGTGTGATGACATTCTTGAATCACATATCATCTGCTTCTTCTTGTCCATCCCTAGAATAATCAGCAGTATTCCACTATTGTAAAGTGATAGCAACTTACCAATAGGGTTTCTGTCAAAAAACAGCACTGGAGTTCTCAAAACCGACTGAAACATTTTATTATGTAAAGTCCGGGCTGCGTTAACCAAAATGTGAAACATAAGTAGGCTCCTCAGTATACTGAAAAGTATCGTAGCCACAGTTAAACCTGTATTTAAATGAAGGGCAGAATTACCTAAGGTAATCTATCAACTTCAAAAATTATTGACAAACATTTTTTTTAAAAAAAACATGCATCACAAGGATAGTAGTTCGACAGTAATTTATTTAACATCAAATACTGTTAATTTAACAAACCTTCTGCGACAAGAAAATTAATAATTCTGCATACATTTCCTACAAGTTATTTGCCTCTAGCTAGGTAACTGAGGTGCATGTTGACAAAACAAGAAGCACAAATAGCTTTTTGTATAAGCCCATGATCTGACTTAAGTTCATCATTAAAGTAAATTATTTATTTTTTTTAGTTATTTATTTGTTTGTTTGTTTGTTTGATGTATGTGGTGCCCATCTTGTCTGGAGGTGAGTCTGGGAGGCTCTTCCTTACACTTTTCCCTAAAGAAAATTCAGGGACATGGTGGCTCAGTGCCTAAGATGCTGAGCATGTCGATCAGAAGGTCGACAGTTCAGCAGTTCAGATCCCTAGCACCACGTAACGGAGTGAGCTTCCATTACTTGTCCCAGCTTCTGCCAACCTAGCAGTTTGAAAGCATGTAAAAATGCAAATAGAAAAATTGGGACCAACTTGGTGGGAAGGAAACAGAGTTCTTTGTGCCTTCGGCATTTAGTCATGGCAGCCACATGGCCACTGAGACATCTTCGGACAGCGCTGGCTGTTCGGCTTTGAAAAGGAGATGAGCACCACCCCCTAGAGTCAGGAACAACTAGCACATCTATTTGAGGTGAACCTTTACTTTTATATATAAAATGATAGAGGTGTATTCATGGATCTACATTTGACTGACACATAGTTAACAAAGGATCCAGCCAAACATTTTAGGCTTGTACGTTGTTCTTTGTTGTTCTTTGTTTTTAAATATTTTTTTAAAAGTTTTTTTTTAATGTTTTAACAATTTAAATATTTTAACAATTGTAAGCTGCCCAGAGGCGCCGGGGATTGGTCAGTATATACTGTAAATTTAATAAATTATCATTATATACACAACAATGTGAATTCATAGCTGCCAGTTTTTTGGCTGGTATTGGGCTTTGTGGGCATTAAATATTGTAATAATTACTAATATTAGAATTCTATGAGAACTGACCACAGTAGAATAGGATGAACAACCTTTCTGTGGGGATGTCCTTTCATTTTATTTTTCACTTTTTTGCGTATGGCAGAAATATCAAGCCCAATGAGACTCTGAGCAGATAGATCTGTTTTCTCAGTCTGCTGTGGGGCATGCTTTGGAGATGGGAGTTGTAAAGGAGTTAAATGAGTCTATTAAAATACAATTTCTTGCAATAAATGTCGTGTTTTAGGGAAAACAATGTACAGCTAAAAATGGACGATTTGCCCCAGATTTCAACAGGGTTGCTCTGGCATTACAAAATGACTATGGGGCCATCTATATTCTGCAGAATGCTTATCCCTGGCATACACAGTGGTTCCTTAAGAGTCCAATGAAAGGACAGACGAGCCACAGTGGCGCAGTGGTTAGAGTGCAGTACTGTAGGCTACTTCTGCTGGCTGCCTGCAATTTGACAGTTCAAATCTCACCAGGCTCAAGTTGACTCAGTCTTCCATCCTTCCGAGGTGACCCAAATTGTTGGGGGAAATATGCTGACTCTGTAAACCGCTTAGAGAGGCCTGTAAAGCTACTGTAACTCTAAGTGCTATTGCTGCCATTGCTATAAACAGATATTCTTTATTATAGACACTGATTAATCAACATATAAACAGCAAAGCACGGAGAACAATAAGATAACACATATTCTAACAATAACTCCTTAAACCCTGATTTGATTTTATAAACCTTATTTAAATTTTAAAAGTGCTTGAAGGCAAACATTTTTTAAAGTCTGAGTTCTGGAAATTCTAATATGCATTTAAAATGGCTGAATGTTATTTTATGCATTAACAACAGGCTGGTGACAGACACACAGATCCTGCTGGTCATTAAGTGGATTTAGTGTAGCATGTTTAGAGCAGTTAAGAATTAGTAGCAGGAAGAGGACAAGAATATTTGAATATGAGTAACCAATTTCTTAGTACGGTTGAAGTGATCATTCTCAGTTTTATAGCTTGTGGTTTCTTAATTTGTTACAATATGGAAAGAAAATATATCCAGCTTTTAAGGGTAGGAGCTTCTAAAAGCAAAAAATGAATCAAGCATAGCCAAATGAAGACCAATTTCAAATTTCCTGTGAATCTGTTCATAATAATAAAAATGTGGCTGGGATAATCCATTTGGAGAGGTAAAGCTTATGATTTTTCAAATATTAAATTTTTATTCATCTTCCAGTTCTGTTATTCCTGAAGTGACTATGCTCTCTCAGTGATTATATGGTACAGTTTTTAATTGTTTTAATTGTCTATTGTTTGAGGAGTCCTTAGTGCTCTCTGAGCTTCGTTGTTTTCTTGAAGACATTTCATTACCCAAACTAGGTAACATCATTAGTGCTAATGTTTGCATGATTATTATTACTTTTGGTTTCCTGATATTGTTTGTGTTTTAATCAGAGGTGGGTTCCTACCAGTTCGCACCTATTCGGTAGAACCGGTTCGTCAAATCTACCGAACTGGTTAGAAGAGGTTCCACCAGTGGACCCGGAAAGCAGGCCACACCTACAGAAGAGGTTCCAAAATTTTTTGAAACCCACCACTGA